TTTTGTCTTAATATTGACAAAAAAATGAGAAAAAAAACGCTGTCAAAACGCACACTTTCGCGACTCATTTTGTGTCAATCTCACTCCATTATGCTGACGTTTGCACCAGTCAAGTTTTTGACCAATGCGTAAAGTGGTTCAGAGAAAGTGCATCATAACTTAGCCGTGTTAAGGCCGATAGCACTGTGAATTGAGCCACTGTCATGCATTCGAGATGTGAACGACGCACTCTTAAAGCAAGAGTGAGAATTTTGCCCATTTTCGAAACGCAAAATCTGCTTATTAAAAAAATATCTCGCCACACCGAGCATAGAACTCGGGTAGCTCGGTATACTGGGCCAATACGCAGTGTATGGGCCAAGGTTAAATACAAATCTTGAAATAAAATTAACAAATCTTGAAATAAAATTAACAAAGCGTGAAATAAAAATGACAAATTAGTTCCATAAATTTGACAAAAATTAAAAATAAATTTAACAAAACTTGCAATAGAATTAACATTTCTTTTAATAAAATTGCCAAGTTGAGAAATTAATTTTGACACAAGTGGCAATAAAATTGCCAAAATAGGAAATTACTTTTGACAAAACGGACATAAAAATAACATATTTTGCTATATTTCTGACCAATATTCGTTGGATATTGTTATTTTTATTGCCTGTTGTGTCAAAATTAATTTCACAAAGTGTCAATTTCATTGAAGGTAATGTAAATTTTTTTGCATGCTTGAGAAGAAAGTGGCATTTGTGGAAAATGGAGCAAAACGATAAGATATGGAGAAAGTGACAAAATATAAAGCAGAAAGGGGTTTTCTGTTCATTTCTTCTTTACATTATTTCAATCATCGTTAATTTGTGCAATATTATAGCAAAACAACACAGGATGCACGATACGATTGCCAAAAAGGGGCCGTATCGCACACTATTTTTTAAGCAAACTGTTCAGAGCGTTTTGTACTCACCGTTTTATTTTCACTTTCATATCTCACCGCTGTAAGAAGAAAAACTTATGACTAACTGGAAAGTAGAGAACCAATCTAAAAAATAAAAGAGTTTGATTTCTTGGTAATAGCTATTTATTGATTAGCAATTTGATTGTGATGAGAGAAAAGCCGCACTGGCATAAAAACTCTCGCTCTGGTGAACTGCTCTGATGCGCGTTCGGCTGTTGACTGAAAAGCTCAGAGACACGTTGAAAACCATGTCTCGGCTGCACGCGCACACACACACATTTTTATATATCATACGCGCTGTATGATATAATGTGGAGATTCGCCACAGCGAGAATTCTCATTCACATACACATTCTCTCTCTTTTGTTCTCTCACCGAAAAGTCACCGAAATTGTATGCACGATTCGGTACACTCCCCCGGTGAGAATGGCACAGTCTCACTTTTAATCTCGTTTGAATTCCGGGCACAACAAACTGTTGTGTTTGGTTCCACAGCGTTTGCAAACGCCCTGTTTGCATTGGCCTGTGGTGTGTGATGGCGAGAAGCAGTTATGACACATTCTGTGATAGTCAAGGAATGACCGCTTCTGCCCCATTGTCATTCCCTTGGATTGGTCGCACTTGTGCAAATAATGCTCTTTATTGCACGCTACGCACACGGCTTTATGTTTCTTGCCTTTAGACGTTGAAGGCAAATCAACAGAGGCTGCTCGGCTCGTTGATGGTCGTACTTGCGCTGGGACTCGCTGCACTGCACCTTGACCTTGTTGCTGTTGTGGCCGCTCATGCGCCTCGATGCGGTTGCACCGTTTGAACAAAAATTCCGACAATTGTTCAATCGTTGGCTCATTTCGGTCTAATTGCCACATCCATAATGAACGGCTGACGTAATCCAAACGATTCTGGATTAAGGCAACAATAAATTGCCGCTCTTGCTCCAATGGAAATTCCAGCTGCTCTGCTCGTTCACGCATTTCCATCAACGTGACCAAGAAACGGTTCAGAGCCATTTCGTCCACTTGGCTCATTTGTTGCACTTCAAACAACGGGCGAAACAAACTTTCAAAGTCCAAAAATGAAAGGTGTGCCCGTTGCTTTGTAGCTGGACTGGCATTTAGTTCAGCTTGCTCTTCACTCGTCGAACTTTTCTTTGCAGAATCATGCTCGGAATTAACGGTGTTAGGCTCTACCGTTTGCACTGTTGTCGGCTCTTGGCCGCCCCAAGCACCTTCATCGTAAGGCAATGCCGGTGGTTGAGACGATTGAACAGTCACTTGATTTTGAACGGTTTGCGCTTCTCCGTTGTCGATGGCAACCACTTCCATTTGAGTCGAATCTTTTATTTCATCAACGGACATTGGTGTTTGCTCTTTTGGTTGCTGGGTTGACAATTGCTCGATAATTGTTAAGCCAGCATTGTGGAAAGCACGTTGTGCTTCCACGCATCGCTCGCTCTGAGCTGTCCGCTCTTCCTCGCTCATCAGCTGAATTTCTTCACTGAATGCTGAGAACAACCCATTCAGTGTATCCAATGCTCGGTCTCGCGAATCACCAATGCTCAATTCACTGAGCATTTTTGTATTTTTTTCAATAAATTCGTCGCACATCTTTTTAACAAATATAATGAAATAGCACTAAACTGACGATGTCGACGCTTTTTGCACCAGCAGCTATGTCCGTGCGCACAACTCGAGAAAATCACTGCTCAATATTTTCACGAATAATATTGTTATTATTTATTTGTATTAATTATTATTTTCCATTAATTACTGCACTTGCTCAAAGAAGATTTTCAGATTGTTACTTTTTACGAAAAATAATCAGCACAAAAGACTTAAGTCACAAGAAAATAAGGCACTGAATTTAACTTGCTTCTGTTCACTTTCACTTTCCAAAAAAGAATGATGCATCGACAGTATGCCGGTCTAAATGTGACTTGAAGAATTTTCGGACGCGCACACTAACACTGACACGATGCTGCCACTCGTATAATGAGCTCTTGACTGAGATGCCAATACTGCTCGAGTCTCTTTCTTTCGCACGATGCTCTATTGGCGAAAACCTAAAATTCAAATTGCTGCTTTCGGACTGTATCTCAACACTTCTCGTGTGTGTGAGAACAACACGATCGCTGCCGCCCAGCAAGAAACGAGCGCGCAATGCTCGAATGGTTTATGCATGTTTGTGCCTGCACACTGAGGTCCGTTAATCCCTTTCTCGGAATGAAAAGAAAAAACAAACCAACGAAAAATGTTATGACACACAACGAGTGTTTGTTTGTTGACCATAAAAACTGTTGACATCAACACATTTTGCCTGCGTGTTTCTTACTTTCTCAGCGCTCTTGCTGAAATATGAAACATTGATTTTGTTCTCGATGTTTTTCTCCGCACAACATTGTCGTCTCTATGCCCAAAAAAAGGAAATGTTAAAATATGAATTGCTCTTTGAGCACATTCTCGTAACAACCGCTTTGTTGTTTTGTGATTTTCGACTGTTTACAATGCTCAAAACTGTTTATGCTCAATAACGAAAATAAATTTCTCAGAATCAATTTTCTTTGTTGCTCTTATCTCCAGAAGTTTCGTTCTCAACTGAAACTTCTTTCTCACGGTCTTGCTCTTCCAGTGGCAATATACATAATTTTTGAACTGGTCGGATTAATGTTTTCCTCTTCGCAGTTCGCTCTTTCGTTGTTGGTAACAAAACTACAACTGAACGTACCAAACCGTCTTTGCTACGTATTAGCTCAGAAATGCGCCCTATTTGCCAGTACGTTGGTGCTACATTGTCTTCGCACAACAACACCAATCGGCCAACTTGAAACTCATGCACTTGAGTCCATTTTTTGCGTTGCATTAAAGTTGATAAATAGTCTTTGCGCCATGTCTCCCAAAATGATTTCAACATTTGTTGTTGCTCCGATCTAATTCTTTTTAAAGAAAAGTCTGCTATTGCCGGTGCCGCTATTGGCGGTGGCAAAACAAACGGTTCACCGATTATAAAATGACCTGGACATATTACTCGCATATCCGTAGGGTCGTCGCTCATCGCATACAATGGGCGCGAATTTAGCACTGCTTCTACTTGTAATAGAAACGTAATTAAATGCTCATAGGTGTATGTTTTTGCACCAATCACTCTTTTCAAGTGGTATTTGCACGACTTGACTGCTGCCTCGTATATGCCACCTTGGTGAGGCGCGGATGGTTTCATAAAAACCCATTGTGTACGCTTTTTGTTGAGGTGCTCTACAACAGCAGGCGCATGCCAATTCACATAGGCAGCTCTGATCTCTTTATCTGCCGCTACAAAGCAGGTACCGTTGTCACTGTACAACTTGTTGCAGTGCCCACGCCTAGCAACAAAACGATCGAAACATGATATAAAGGCTGCTGCAGATGCATCCGTTACAATATCAATGTGCACAGCTCGTGTCACCATACAAACAAAAATGGCAATCCAGCATTTTCGTTTGCTGGCTCTACTTTTATAGCGCTCAGTAAGCTCAAACGGGCCTGCATAATCAACACCAGTTATCAAGAAAGGTCGATTTTGCTGCACCCGATCGGACGGCAAATCCGACATTAATTGTGCTTCGAACTTCTTTGCGAAGCGAATGCACGTGATGCACTTGTTTAAATATTTCCGAAGCTCATTTCTCAACCGAGGGATCCAATACCTGGCTCGAATGTATTGGAGCATTAGTTGAATCGAGCCATGCTCTGTTGCTCTATGCGCTTCCCATGCGATCAAATAACTCAAACGAGAGTTAGATGGGATTATCACTGGAAATTTTGTATCATATGGCAGATCAGATTGGCTCAAACGACTACCTGCTCGAATGATACCGTCTTTGTCCAAGAAAGGGCACAGTTTTATTATTTTACTATCTTTCTGGACTGTTGTCTTTTGCTCATCGTTCGCTTTCTCATTTAAATATTTATGCTCTCTCGGGAAAGCCAACGTTTGCTCCTGTCGAATGAGATATTGCAGCGCTTCTCTCTTTTCATTCTCATCCAATAGCTCAGGTACTGTTTTATTGCTCTCACATTTTTTTATTGCTCCTTGTTATCCTTTGAAATGGTTTTGTTCGTGTTTTGCTACGGCAGTTTCGCACAAAACGTAGCACATAGCCGAGCACACGAATCAAACTGTTCAAATCATTAGTATAATCTACTAAAAGCACTTTCTTTTCTCTTTGGCCCTCTCTCTCTTCATCTGTTATTCCTTTAACAAATATCGTTAAATCGTTATCAGCTATTGAAACGATATGCACTTTCAGCTCTCCTTGCACTTCTATGGATGATTGTATTTTGCTCACATCCAATGGTTCTGGCCATTGCTCTTGAGGCTTCAAAAGCCACGGTGGGCCATGCCACCATAAATCGTTATGCACGATTTCTTTGGCTGATAAGCCACGGCTCACTAAATCGGCTGGATTATCCGCCGTTCGCACATGTCTCCAATTTTCAACATTGGTCAATTCTTGAATGGTTTTCACTCGATTTGCAACGAAAACCTTTAGCTCAGGTAGCGATTTTCTCAACCACTGCAACGCAGTAGTGCTATCCGACCATAAAAAATATGGTATTTGTTTCAATTCCATTGCATCTCGCACTACAATGAAAAATTTGCTCATTAGCTCCGCCGCCGCTAGCTCCAACCGAGGAATCGTTACTTCTTTTATCGGCGCTATTTTCGACTTGGAAGCTATCAGATGGCACGAAATATGGCCGCTCAATTTTTGTACTCGCAAATACATACCGCAGCCATAAGCGATTTTAGAACTATCGGCAAAACCGTGTAATTGCAGTTGCACATCGCATTCCATACCAAACCAACGTGGGATACGAATTTGCTCTAAATCGACGATCGTTGACCAAATGGAATTCCATTCATGGCCGATTTCAACTGGGACAGGCTCATCCCAAGTTAATTTTGATACCCACAATTTGCGCATAAGTAGCTTTGCTCGAGTTATTACTGGTGCGATAAACCCATTTGGATCATAAAGGCGACCGATTTTGCTCAAAATCGTTCGTTTTGTGAGCTTATCGTCCATTCTTTGCTCTCTCACCTCATAAGTGAACTCATCTTTTTTGATTTGCCATTTCAAACCCAAAACAGATGGTTCGTTTGGTTCTTCGAACAAATGCGAAACGGCCTCTTCACCATCCATAGCTTGCACTAAGCTCTCACTGTTGGACACCCATTTCCGCAGTTCAAATCCAGACTTGCTCAAAACTGTTTTAATCTCTGTTGCTAATTTGATAGCGCTCTCTTGATCCTTTGCACCGGTGATACAATCGTCCATATAAAAATCATTTCTGATTGCAGCCACCGCTTCCGGATAATTGTCCTCTAATTCAGGTTCTAAATCCAACATCGACCGTACGGCTAAATACGGAGACGAAGCGAGCCCAAATATTACAACCACAAGCCAGTATTCTTTTAACGGCTGATAAGAATGCTCTCGCCAAAAAATTCTCTGTAGATTCCATTGCTCTTGGTTTAAGCGCACTTGCAAAAACATTGATTTGATGTCTGCGTTAATAGCAACTTTATGTCGTCTAAAACGCATCAAAATCTCATATAAATTGCGTTGCAACTTCGGCCCTGTGAACTGCGCTTCGTTCAAAGAAATGCCCAAAGTTGTTTTACAGCTCGCATCGTAAACAATCCTAAACTTTTTGGCAGTGCTCACTGCATGATGTGGTATATAATACACCATGTCTTCTGGTTTGGCGCTCGTAGCCTCGACCATGTAACCATTCGCAATGTTCTCACGAATCTTCTCAATATATTGCTCGTGAAGTCTTTTGTCTTGTGCGAAACGTTTCTCTAAGCCAAAAAATCGACGTAACGCAATGCCACGAGAATCGCCTAGCTCATGCACAGACGGTTTCATCGGAATTTTCACCACATGCCGATTTAACTCGTCTCGAAAATGTGTTTCTTGAAACATTTGCTCTGTCAATTCGTCCTCGACATTTTTGGTTGTGCACAGTTGCAAATCTTCAAATTCCCAGAATTTTTTCATGATTTGCTCGAGCTCACTAACATTCACATTATACACATGTTGCCTTTCAATGACATGCACTTCGTCATTGGTATATTGCTCGCCTACCCTGCCGGAAATCAAATTGCCCAACATTGACTCTTGACACAATAGACAATTGTCTATTTTGTATGATGAGCCTTCGATTATCATCGACCATATCTCCACGCCCAACAATAAAGAAACACTGGTCGATTTCCAAAATGTTGGGTCGGCTAAATTAGAATTTAGTCGATTTAAAAAGGGTTGGCACGGTACATCTCTGTCTGGAAATACTGGTTTCCATTTGCTCTCCTTTGGTAGCACTATAAAATTCGCATTCACCTTTTCTGCTTCGTCTTTTTCAAACCAAGGTTGAATGCTCATATTTACTTTCTTTCT